GACTCTCCATCAACCCCAAACTGTATTTCTTCCATTTGAGTCAAGGTAATTTCTGATTCTGCGCTCAATTACTTGAAGAAAAATCTGTTTCATTTAAGGTTACAATCAGTTAATCCACTCCCCTACAGATCAGTCACAGCAAGCATGTGAAAAACAAATATCCTTCCTAAAGAAGCCTACACTTATTTAACTATGACCAGTGATAGAAAACAGCTTCTCATCCAGTAATCTATCTAATTTATGATTATATTTATTGTCAGGTCAAAAAGAAACTCCACTCAAAAGTTAATCAGCCATTTTCTTAACAAGAGCAATTTATCAGGCACGTTCCTTCTGTTTAGTGTTTGAATCATAAAACAGAATCATGGAATCATAGAATCAGATGGGTTGGAAAGGACCTCTGAGATCAAGTCCAACCCTTGATCCACTACCACCACAGTTACTAGACTATGGCACTCAGTGCCACATTCAGTCTCTTCTTAAATACCTCCAGGCACAAAGAATCCACCACCTCCCTGGGAAGCCCATTGCAATGCCTGATTACCCTCTCTGTAAAAAATTTCTCCCAAATATCTAACCTAAACTTCCCCTGGCAGAGTTTGAGACCATGCCCTCTTGTCTTACTGATAGTTACCTGGGAGAAGAGACCAACCCCCACTTGCCTACAACCTCCTCTCAGGTAGTTGTAGAGAGTGATGAGGTCTCCCCTGAGCCTCCTCTTCTCCAGACTAAACAACCCCAGCTCCCTCAGCCTCTCCTCATAGGACTTGTGCTCGAGTTCCTTCACCAGCCTCGCTGCTCTTCTCTGGACCTGCTCCAGCACCTCAATGTCTTTCCTGAAATGAGGGGCCCAGAACTGGACACAATATTCCAGGTGTGGCCTCACCAGCGCTGAGTACAGGGGAAGGATCACTGCCCTGCTCCTGCTGGTCACACTTGTTCCTGATACAGGCCAGGATGCCATTGGCCTTCTTGGCCACCTGGGCACACTGCTGGCTCACGTTCAGCTTCCTGTCGATCCAAACTCCCAGGTCCCTTTCTGCCTGGCTGCTCTCCAGTCACTCTGTTCCCAGCCTGTAGCGCTGCAGGGGGTTGTTGTGGCCAAAGCGCAGGACCCAGCACTTGGCCTCATTGAACCTCATCCCGTTGGAATCAGCCCAACTCTCCAGTCTGTCCAGGTCCCTCTGCAGGGAAGTGTGTTTATATCTGCTGTTTCCATCTTCACATTACATTTGTACTTCTATCATAATGAAAACCTCGTGTCCCTCTGGGCTGACATAAGCAACCACCCACCCACAAATATGGACCAACTATTAGATGATGAAGTTTTCAAATTTCCAAACTACAACAGTTGCAAGAAACAAATTTGTTATGAAAACAGCTATTAAGAAAAAATAAGTTGCAGTGCAGTTAAATTTCTGTCAAAAATAACACTATGTCAACACAAGTCTTCATTTATTTCCAAGTGTTCAAACTATTATTACACATATGACATTTAATGATTTTTTATTTGAACATTAAGATAATTATGAGTTGGAGGGTGCATATTTCCAGTGGCCTCTCTGCAGCAGATACCACCACAACAAAATATGAAACATACCACACAGTTAACAAAATGACATTTGAGTTCTCAGAATTACAATCAATTTCTTGCTAAAAGATCACATAACTAGTACATAACTGGAACATTTCCTTTAACAGAAATATCAAACTTAGTACTGCATTTGTTAAACTTCAATATGAACATCTATATGTAAGAGCAACTTTGTTCATGACAGTTAGATTTAGCACACATATGGTACTTTGGCAGCTCTGATCGATTTTTCCTCCTAAGCTCCATAGCAGATTTAATTTATAAAACATATTGCTAATATGTCCAGCATAAATATCAAGAATCAAATGCATTTTTCTTCTGCTACTTCAATGGGAAAGGGAGCAGTTTTTATCTCATATTACGCAGTCTTCTCACATATGCATAATTTCCTTCCATGGACATTTCTACCCTATCTACCATTTTGTCTGAAAAAAAAATCTTCATTAAAAAAAAAATCTAAATATTCTCCTCAAATTAGAAAGACTACAGCCATAAACAATTACATGACAAATCACTACCAACTATTTATTTCAAAGTAACATTGAATGTGTCAAATTTTTATCAAGTAACCACCATGTCAGTCATCTGAAGTGCAATGAATTCCCTCGCAATTAAACAAATCCCATTTTGAGTTCATTTGTGAAACTAATTTATTAGTTACCTTTTTTTTGTAGGAGAATCATGCAGACATTAAGATGCTTAGGTAAAATATATGATATTTTATTATTATTAGAGGCAGAAATATAACTGGCAGATGGAAAACTATTTTTAAGCACATAAGCTAAGTAAAATCAAACTGTGCCAAGTTTTCTCAAGTAATTATAATCACAAATTCAGCAAGGGTATTATCTATAAGAGGAACTAATAGTTCTTGATTAACAAATACTAATTTCTTTGAACATCTCTACCATTGGTTTCCACAAGAGAACTAATCATTATTATGAAAACTTTTTCACTTACTCCCCCAAAATTAAACTGAGATTAGCTCAGTTGGTTAGAGCATGACCCCAAGGTCACATGTTTGATCCCCGTAGAGGTCACTTAAGAGTTGGACCCAATGATCCTTGTGGGTCCCTTCCAACTCAGAATACTCTGTGACTGTCTGGAATTTAATTCTCCACCTTCCTGAACACAATTACGTTGTACACAACTGACATCCAATGACCTACTACTACAGTAGTCTAAGTGAGGACAATGTTCCCTGTATTATGATAATCATGCACTTTAAAGTAGTCACATGAAAGTTTTGAGGTAAAAATGGGTGAGATCTGGTTGCAAAATTTCAGTTTTAAAGGGAAATAAAAAGCATACATACATATCACAAAAACTACATCTAGAATCTGTTGACAGTGATATGAAGCAATTTCTTTCATTCACTCATCTGAAAATTTTAGTGGTTATTTCATATTTATTCTATTTGGTCCAAATACCCGACATGCCATTAAGAGTCACACACAAAAGAATGTTGTGCCCAAAAAACACAGCTACTACCACAAAACATCTCTTCATCCTTTTTATTCACCCTCAAGCAGTTTTTAAAAACTCAGATTTCCTGAGCTATACAAAAACATAGTTTAACTTTATTTGAAATATTTGAAATATGTCAGCAATGGATAAGTTAAAAAGTGGGTGGAGGTATCTGACATAATGGTTAAATTAAATAATATATATTTGATTTCACCTTTCCTCACCCTTCAATACCCATTTGTACTGAATTATAAACTCTGCAGCACAGGAACAGTCTGTGTATGGCACTTAGGAGAATAGGACTTCCATGCATGTTTGCAATATAAACAATTATATTAAAATATGCCAAAATAAACAAATAGTCAATTCCATTAATGTATACACAATGGTTTTTAAATACATTAAATTTAACATCAAATTGGAAAATTACATGGTTGTATATTCACTACATAGTCTGGAAATGTCAATTTTCATGAAGTTGTTTCAAAGCCAAATATACAGGTCCAAAGGAGGGCTACAGAGATGATTAGAGGGATGGAACACCTCTCTTATGAGGAAAGGCTGAGAGTTGGGGTTGTTCAGCCTGGAGAAGAGAAGGCTCCAGGGAGACATTATTGCAGCCTTTCAGTAAAGGAAGCCTATAAGAAAGAAGGGGACAAACTTTTTAAGAGGGCATGTTACAATAGGACAAGGGGTAACGGTTTTAAACTAAAAGAGGGTACATTCAGGCGAGCTATAAGGAAGAGTTTTTTTATGATTAGGGTGGTAAGACACTGGAACAGGTTGCCCAGAAAGGTGGTAGATGCCGCATCCCTGGTAGACAAGCAAAGTGCACTAGAGTCATGATCCACTATGCACCAGTGTTTCATTGTAAGCACTGAGTACCTTCTGTACAAAATATAAAACAGTTGTGCACATGTAAGCCACACAAGGCAAGCCAAGTTAAATGGTTTGGGTGGGTAGCATGGACAGGGCAGGAACATGACAGTCAGATGTCTCGGCTGAAGCAATTTTAACTCCCTTTGTTTAATCTGTGTTATAGCCTAGTTTAAGCATCATTCTTTACACAATACTCCCAAATGAACAAAAACCCTACAAAGACAGCTTAACTGTTCTTTTCTATAGACTAAATAGTCAGTATGTATTCAAGAATATTAATTTAATGCAAAGTTTGGAAAGAGTACCTAAACAATAACCACAATTGGAGTTTTTAAAAACTATCTTACTTTAAAGTATGTCTATTACTCTAAAAGTTTATGCATCACATTCAAAATCTAGGGTCTAAGAATAAAGCCTAATTGTATTTTCTAAGTCAAGCAAGCTATAGAAAAATGGGAAGAAATAGTGTGTGGCTTGATTTCAAGTGTTATTGTATAGCATACTTCATATAAGTAATGTAAAAAATGTCTATATGCTCAGGACCGCTTGCATCTGAATAAATACAGTAAATTAGTAAATAGTTTTAAAATTACCTACAAAAATGTGGTTTACCAGGTATTCACTGTTTGTATCAAGTCTTAAAGCTGGAAGTTGTCAGGGCAAGCGTATGAAATAAAATAAAAAAAAATTAAAATTGAGACATTTTAAGAAATCTCCTCAGAAAAAAAAATCACATTAACAGTTAACTAAAGTACAACTAAAATTAAAGTTATTAGGCAACCTTACCAGCACCTTTAACCAAAAGGTTATGCTTTACATACTATTTACACACTATTTGATTTGTTTATTTTATACCATGAGGTGAAAGCAACACATTTCCTTTTAGTAAAGTATACACAAATAGCCTCACTCAGAATAAACTTTTAATGCACATAAAGTATTCATCTTATAAATCATTTTGAAATCCAAATATACAATAGTTTGGAAAACAATATTTTAGAAAACAAATGTCAATGTAATATGACAACTTAAAACAACTAAAATGATAAAAGGTTTCTGTATCGCTCTGTATTTACAGTTTTCTTACTGCATCATCAATATCAGAAATCTGTTCCTTCAGCTGGTTCCACTGTTCTGGATTTAAAGAAATACCTGAAATGCATTAAAAAAAAATACTTAGGACAAAAAAAAAATTGTAGTGCAAGATCTTGCATAATTACTGTCAAGGCTGGTTTCATACACAAAGTGTATGTCATGACTATTAATGCTTAACCTACCTCAAGTGTAACAACCACTTCAGTTACAAAGAAAGTACTCATTTGGAACACTTCTGTTTAAATTTAGACCTTAGCTTATCTCCTTACAAAGACAATGTGTGCAGTATAACAAATTCATTCACAAGTGTTGGGCTAAATGCAGAAATACAGCCCTGGACTTGATAGAAGGCAGTACAAAAGAAATGAAGGAAGTCAACTGTATTCCTGTTGGCTCCTAAAAGCAATACCTCTGTGGACTGAACTTCTATGCGCTTTTAAAGTACCATAATTCTGGGTTTTTTTCCCCTCCTGTTTCTTAAAGCACTGTGAATAACAAACTATAAGTAACATTTTGGAGAGACTATTACCACTCTCTAGCACTCAAAAACCAACATGGAAATCCAATTGTAATAAAAGCAAGAAGTGGAGTTAAGTTAATCAACGGGAAATGTATGGCTATGTATATAACTCCCATACCAAATTTATTTATATTCGATGCCTTGTTTTCCATAAATTATGGGGGAACCATTTAGGAAAACTGACTCAGGCCAATGAAACCATTTCTCTTTTGTTTATTATCTACAGATAAACCTAATCATTTGTTAAAATATAAATCATTAAAAAGTAAAAACATTACTTTAAAAATACCACATAGCAACAAAGTATAGAAATCTGATACACAAAGTTCTCCAGCAAACTGCAGACAATGTTTTAATACAAAATAACATGAAGCTGAACAATACCTTTTCTGCCAGGCTTCATTTCACCTTCTTGATCCAACCAATATTCTCTAATATCAATTAAGACTTTTCCTTTAAAGTCACGAACACTGACATACCTCATTTTGCCAATCTGTCAAAACACATATAAAGATATCTTTTAGATACCTTACATATTACAGTATTCACTTTTCCCAGCAGTATCAGACTTGGACATGTGACACTGCACACTGCAGCTTATTTTAGACACCAGTAAAACAACTAGATCAAGAGCTTAATCCAGAGCAGTCAGTAGGCAAATAAGTAATGACAATATAAATGGATGAACAACTTAAAACCAGTTGAGCATTCAATGCTCAATGCAAGAGTGGTTCTCCTAGAACAAAAAAATACCTGTATTCTTAACAAGCTTGCATCTTACAAAACCTACTAATTTAGTGTTTTCTGAAATAAATTTTTGCTTCTGTTATAACCATCTTTGTTAGTAGCAGTTTTAAACAAACAGGGAAGAGGGAGTTTTACTCCCAAATCTAAGTTTTAGTCCATTCCATATGCACAGAAATCAAATTAGATATTCACATGAGATAGGTCCAATTTTGGTTCCACTCCCTTTTTTTTCCCTTTTTCTTTTTTAAAACACAGTAAATACAGAAACAGAAGTAAGCCACCAACTGCCCCATGCCTGCTTCCACCAGTTCACTGGGGCACTTTATTGGAACTGTGGTTAAAAGACTGTACCAGATGTTCCAAGAAACCCCCATACAAATACTTGAAGTTTACCAACACGTAGCATGGTATGAAATTACTTTGAAATATCATAATTTCACACAGTGGATTAAATGAATTATGAGGGCTTTTTTTTCTTCTCCAAAGAGAAAAACAAGGGGAGGGGGGAATCAAAGGGAAGAGAGACAACAGGCACACTACACATTACACTACATATTTAGGCTTTATCAAATTTTCTTAAAAAAATATAAAAAAACTATTTATTCACATAAATTCAAAATATGTGAATTTGAGAACCAAAAATTTTATAATAAAAACAATTAAACAATTAATGTAAGAAATTCTTAGTATTTTGTATGCACCTTCTGAATACACTTTATGAAAAAAGAACACATTATCACATAAACAATTTTAAAAATAGAATATTCCTTCCTGATATAACATTAGTTTCAGTTTTCAGCTTCCTTAATTTATGCATCTTGCACTTTGACATAATTTAACAGGGGGCAAAACACATCTTACTAGCATTGTCTGACCAGAAATCATACATAACTCTCCAATCAACTAAACTCATCCACAAATGTTTAAGTCATAAAAGTTGTTATTTCACAAAATATATATAAACAAATATGCTTTGTGTTTGCTTAAAGTAATTTTTCTTCTTATGCAGATCATGCTAAATTAACTCTAAAATTTATTTTTAAACAATTGGGGTGTCTTTAGATAGCATAAGGATTTCACTATTAAAGATAAGACTACATGCCTTACTTCAACTACAGTAAGGTGAGGGGCAATAATACAAAATACACATAATTAATTCAGTCAGTAAGTCTACCTTAAATGAGAAGAGTTCCATATGAAAATGCTAAAATGCTAAAAGTTAGGGTTTACACCACTGTCTAGATTTCAGCTGAATGCTCACGTTAAATTTTGAATGCTTAGTTAAATTCTATGCAAAACATTTGCCACTGCTAAAAAGCTTTAAATAGGCTTCTAAAGTACAGTTTAAATAACTCAAATGAACCTAGATTTTGGTTAAGTAAATAGATGTTTCCTGAAGTTCAGTTACCTGCAATTCTGGCATTGAGTCATTTCTGACTAATTCTTTTTTCATGCATCAGCTGATAGACCTAGAATAATTTCACTCATCTAAGATGCCTTTGTATCTCTGTAACAACACATTCATGTTCCAAGGGCTGCATTGATTTATAGTAGGGTAGCTACTGCAGTTCAATCTTCATAAAAAAGTTCATATGCTTTTGTGCTGGTTTTGGCTGGGGTAGAGCTAATTTTCTTCCTAGTGGCTGGTATGGGGCTCTGTTTTGGATTTGTACTGAACACAGTGATGATAATAAAGAGATGTTTTAGTTGTAGCTGAGCAGGCCTTACACAGAGCCAAGGTCTTTTCTGCTTTTTGTACTGCCATGCTGGCAAGGAAGTTGGGGATACATGGAAGGTTGGGAGGAGACACAGTCAGGACACCTGATCCCAACTGACCAAGAGATTTTCCGGACCATATGGCATCATGCTACAACTGTAAAGTGGGGGAAAAAAGGAGGAAGGGGGAGGGAAATTTGGAGTGATGGCGTTTGTCTTCTCAAGCAACTGTTACACGTGATGGGGCCCTGCTCTCCTGGAGATGGCTGAACACCTGCCTGCCCATGGGAAGCAGTGAATTAATTCCTTGTTTGGTTGCATGGTGCTTGGTTGCTGGCTGGGGTTAAACCATGACAGATTTTTATTAAATATCACAGCTCCTTAGATATATTATTCTATTAAATTGAACATAAGCCATTAAAAACATTCTTTCCAGGTTTCCATTTCTTAGAATAAAATGCACTGAACTGTGTCTAGGTTTATTTCACAGCTATGCAACTGACTTCCTGTATGAGTTGCAGTAACCACCTTTTTCACCATTTTTCCTCCTATTTCCTATTTGCCTCGATTAAACTGTATATATGCTGTGGAAGTAAAAACAGCAAAAAAAGCAGACTTCCTTTTTATCATATGTATAGCATTAGAGGAAGGACAATGAGCAAATATAAACTGCTAGAATAGAGAGTCCTGCAAACAGCAGAGATCTGTAACAGCATATTGGTCTAGCACATGAATTCTGAAATTCAAGTGGTCACCAATGCATTTCACAATGTCCTGGTCCCAGCCAGGACAGGGTTAATTTTTGCAGCAGTCAAGAGGGGATGGAGCTTATTCTATAACACCTCACATCATTGCCACCAGTCAGGTGAGCCCCTGGTGACCTGGATGCTCCAATGCTGGGATATTGAAGCCCCCTATATGAAACTAGATGGAAGTGAAGCCAAGCAACTGGAATCCCTGTCCCAGGATGTGGGCTTTGCCAAGAGGATTAGGAAGAGAACAGAAACTCAGTCTCTGGAGGCAACTCTTGTCAAGCCTGAGGGAAAGGAATTCTCTCAAGAATGATCTAGTAGTGTGCCCAAGCAGGTGAAACATCATGGAGAAAGGTATCCAGTACCTGAGAGAATTAGTTGTGCTGGAGGTAATCTATAGGGATTCAAATAACAAGCAGTCCCCTGTAGATCCAGATGAGATCCAGTGTACACAATACATGTGGCAGAAGTTTGTATGGAGCGTGCCATCGTCATACACCAACTCATTGGCAGCATTGATGTCAATGAAAGAAGGAGAACAAACAGTGCTTCAGGTGACTACCCGACTCTGGCAATATGAGAATCATCTTTTTTCCTCCCTACCAACCTGTGCCCCTGTAACAACCAGATAATATAGAAATGCTAAAAAAAGTATTTCACCATTGTTTCTACATGTCAAAACTTCCTACCAAAATTTCTCAGTCAGCCCTCCTGCCAGAAGCCCTTACCAGAGCTTCCTGCTGGAGTTTTCCTACCACAAGATCCTGCTATTCTTTATGGTTATCATATATCTTCGAACATCTGAATAGGGCTACATGCCAAAGAAACCATGTACAATCTCCTTTAAACACTAGAAAAGTTGAGGAAAAATTTTGGAAAACTAGAGAGAGGAAAGGGAAAGAGAGAACCGGTTACAGTAGCTGAGCATCTCTCTTCCCACCTCCCCCTTGCCTTTTCTCTGCCACCACATGCTGCCTGTCTGCCACCGGAGACTGAAACTCTGCTGGCCTGGACAAGAACTGAGACTGACCGTGCCACATGCATGAGTTATACCTTATCCTCCTACCCTTACCACATTTCTGAGGACTGAAAGGTGCTGCTTACCGAGGATCAGAACACTGCACAGCCTGGGACGCAGCTAAAACGTGAGCAGCAAAGCCACACACATCCTGACTGCATTCCAGAGAACTAAGCTGCTAAGATGACATTCCACACACACACACCCAGTTAAAGAGATAACATCGAAAAGTGGCAGAGAGAAATAAAAAAAGGCAGAAACTGTTCCCCTACTACCACCATCTCAGCTAAAAGATAGTTTGGTGGTAACTTTCCTATGCTTCTAAAAGTAATCTTAGCTTTTTCCAACCTTATTTTTTCCTCTCTCTTTGCATCTCTTACAATTAATAAAATAAAAATATCATTTTTTTGGTATCAACAGATAACTCTGAGTTTTAATTTTGCTCAGGGAATATTCGAATCTGAATAGTGCCCATCCAGTTGCTCTATCAGTCTCCTTCCCAGTCAGAAAGGGGAGAGTCCCAGGTGGATCTGGACTGACAACATAAGGGTGAATTATTTCTGTCTCAGTGGGGCCTCACGTCATCAGGGAAGAGATTCAACATACAGATGGGCTTGTGATTGAAGGGTGGATTTAACCATGGACAATATCTCGCAGGTTATCCATAACTGTGAAACGTGTTGCAATCAAGCAGGTCAAGTGGGTAAAACCTCTGTGCTATGGTGGATGATGGTTGAAATATAAATATGGGGAGGTCTGGCAGATCAATTACATCACACTCCTGCAAACCTGCCAAGGCAAGTGCTATGTGCTGACAATGGCTGAAACAACAACTGGATGGTTGGAGATGTACCCTGTGCCTCATGTCACTGCCCGGAACACCAGTTTGGGCCTTGAAAAGCAAGTCCTATGGCAACATGGCACCCCCAGAGAGAATCGAGTCAGACAACAGACTAATTTCAAAAAAAGACTCATAGACACCTGGGCCAGAGAGCACAGTATTGTGTGGGTATATCATATTCTCTGTCATGCACCAGCCTCTGGGAAAATGGAATGGTACAATGGACTGTGCTGACAGCACACCAGGCCTCCTGCCCTGGAAGACATCTAGGATGGATAGAACCCACAGTCATGGACTAAATGAACTCAACAGACATCTTGGAGGGACTGCCACTGACTACAGAAATGATACCTGTGCTTGCGTATACTTATATACATATACATAGTTGGAATGTGAAGGATCTGGGCATGACATAGATG